ATGGTGAATATGGTAAACAATGACCTCGAGAATCTCCTTCTCAAATTTCTTATACGCCCCTCAACGTATCTTGTTCAAGCAAGATGTCTTATGGGTGTAGTTTTCGTTTAGGAAAAAATTTAGTCTCGTTAAGTTTATTTCTGGCTTGATAATCTTTCTTATAACCATGAGGAGTTGTTTTTAAAAACAGATTATAAGAACATTAAATACGTCTCATAAAAAAAATAAAATCCAAGCTACGAGGGATCTCCCATGGAAGACGGTAAACCAAAGCTAAGGGTTTTGTTAAAATCAAAGCTTTACTTTTTCCTCTTCTTAAATTACTTTTTTTTTGTTTGACATTTTTTCATGGAATCAAAGCTTTAATTTCTGGATTATGGAGAGAGAGAAAGAGAAAAATAAAAGAGAGTTTCGAAACAGAAGAAAGAAAATGATATTGTTTACAGAAGAGAGAGAAAGAAGAAAATAAAGAAGAGTTTAAAACACATGAAAAAGAATAGTATTATAAATAGTTATATATCTTGATTATGTTGAATAGGGGTAAAATAGTAAAGAGAGCAAATGAATATACCACTAGAGGACAAAATTAGGGTATATAGCTAATAAGCATATCTTTCTTGTGTGTAGGATGCAATTACTCTAAAAATTATAGGAACCAATATCCGTTACCGTAGACTATGACAAAGCTGCGTGTGACGTCAGCATGACGGTGGAGGCTCCCTCTGTCTTGTTCGGTGCCAGTCTCGTGAGTTTCGTGACATTCAGCATCGATTTGCCCTCAAGTTTCCGTTACCATGTCGAGGTTTACTTGGCGTTGACTCAAGCTCTGCTCAGGATCATTGATCGCTTCTAGATAGTTTATTATTTCTCGACAAGTCATTGTCTTATCTAGAGTCTCTAGGCTCTCAAAATTTAAATCGAACTTTGCTTCTTCCTTTCTTTTAATCATTTCAAGATTGAATGAAAAACAGTGAGAAAACTTATTATTTCACTTTAATTTAACCATCTCTATCAAAAAGAATCAAATCAATAAATATTGATTTTTGAGTTTCTAACAAAAGTGATTTTTATATTTGTCCGCTTTTTCATTATATCAATTAATTGTGTTGTTTTTAAATGGTTCATGATCATGTTGGTAATGATTCTGATTCAAAATCATAACTTACAGCATTTCTCGTTCAAATAAACCATATAACAAATCATGTTCCTTCTTCTTCCTTTGATCTCTCTAATTCCTGCCCCAACTTCTTTTAGAACTATATGTGAGATGAACAGAAACTTGGTATTCTATTTTCTAGACATAAAGAAATATAATGTTTAGTAGCAACTCGAACCCGGTAATTTATAGAACAAAATCAGCACATATCTATACAGTAAATATTATTTTTCTTTCTTTTAATTTTTTTTTATTCCTGGCGGCATAAAAATGCAACTAGCTTTGACAAGAATACTCTTCAAAAGTGGATTGGATTTTATGTAAAATTAGAAGCAAACTTTCATTCTTCTTTTATTTTGTTCTTCAAGGGAACATCTACATATATGAGATTCACTTCTCAGGCACCATGCACCAACAACAATAGCCAAACACAACTTGCACAGTTTTACTTTGAGCTTTCTTTTTCCTTCTGTTTTTATTTTTTGAGTTCTTTCATTTTATCTCTTTCGGAGTTTCTCTGAAAACTTTCTTTCTTTTGTTTGGACAACAATAATAAAAAAAGTTAAGTTTTGGATCAATTTATAATACATTTTTAAGAATTATTTACTATAAAGAGCAGTTTTATTTTGTAGAAAATAAGTGTTTCTCCTTTGGTGTAAAAGAAATGCTTCTTTTGTCAGTAGGGTTAGACATGAGTTGAATATTAGGTTTTAGAGATATTTGTGACATGGTCTGCTGCATTCAAATAATTAGTTATCTGATTCGATTCAATCTATATCTATCCGGATATTCAATGTTGGATGTCCGAAAAAAAAATTTTAAACATGAGATCCGATTCTATCAATAAATTAAATAAAAATCCAAAGATAATATAAATCATAATATTTTATTACGAAAATAAAAAAATATTTACTTTTAAAATTGTAATAGCTAAAATAATCAATTTAATAAATAAATTATTTTTAAAATCACAATAATTATATAATTTATATATAGTTTTAAAAATATATGTATATAACAAATCAAATTGGACTTCCATTCTAAAATATTAGTATTCATGGTTTGTTAGTTTCTTAGGATACTGCAAATAGTATTAACTTTGATTCGTACAGTTACAGATATCCAATTTTTTTTTGGTTCAAATGGCAATAGATAACAAATCGAATCAAAATTTATAAATATTTTGTCTAGCTCTATTTGTCAATGTAGGATAGCTAAAGGTAAGAATCTTTTCAGGTAACAAAGATCGAACTAAGATATCAGTTTCGCTTTCACCAAACAGAACACATGAAAGCCATTTTTCCAAGAACATCTTTTTGAGTGTGAACTTTGAATGAAATGCCAAAAAAAAAAACACGAATTATATATATTAAATTATTAAAAGGGTATTGATCCTTTGAAGAAAAACACGACGCAGAATTTGTGATATTGATAATTAACTATTCCTTGGGATTGTTGAGTATTGTTAGGGCATATATAATCGAATCAACAAATAGGAAGATAGTAGATAAGTTTGTAGTAGGCCATATCCTATCTCTATACATGATGCACAGTAATTTGGTAAAATCAGTATCCATGTTATTTTTACTACAATATTTGACATATACCGACATCATCTTATACGATGCAGTTTGAAATATTTAATTAGGAGATATTCTTTTCTCATACAATATTTCATTGTCTATTCCACGATACTAGTTTGAAATTAAGAAGATCATGGAAAGCGAATCTAATATTGTGAACTTGTACAACTTCACAGATAGCAAAACAAAGTAAGGAAAAACCTGTCCTACTCTAATCTTTGAATGCATATTCAGTCATGTCATGACCCATTCATCATCTTTCTTCGAATCTCCTATCTCACTGAACATGTTTGGAGGCGGTCCTCCGTATTTTATAACAATGCGTGCTTATGATCTCATATGTATCTCCACTAGCCTTATTTGATTTTTGGCAGTCTCAAATTATTTTTTTTGTTATCAGTTACAACTTTGGCATGGTTGATAGTAGGTTTGTTTAAGGGTTTGAATGATTATAAAGTCCTTATATGCTAAATTGCAAGAATTTTGGGTTTAGGGAAGTAGTCACGATCTCCCCCATTATTTAAAACAAAAAATTAACAACTTGAGTTTTAGATATCAAACCTTGCATAATCAAGAATAGAAGAGCATGCATGGTTTTGATGCAATTGCACTGTACCATTTTGTAACCAGAGTATATCAATTGAGCCGTGGAAAGAGAGGTGAGTTAAGTCACAAATCTAAGTTCATTGTCGATTTTGTAAATAAATTAGGGAAAATTCTCTATAAATACCCCAACTAAATTTTATTAAGCTTTTTAATACCCAAACTTTTTCACTACTCAGTTTAATACCTCAACTAATTATTCTGTCCATTTTAATACATCAACTTTTATAATTGTATCTATTTTAATACTCAAACTTTGTTTATTTTAATTAACAATACTAATAAATTTCAAAGGAAATTTAAAAAAATCTCCAAAATCTAAGAAAAAATATTTAAATTTTCTAAGTTTATTTGAAGATTTAAGAAATAAGGTAAACAAACCCTGTAGAAAATTTAATGTTTTTAAAAAAAAATTTTTGAAGGAAAAAAAATAATTTACTTTTTGTTTCAAAAACACAAACTAAATTCAGTATATAAAACTTAAAAAACTTATTACAAAACTTAAGATTATAAAAAAATTATTTAATTTCGTTACTCAAACATATAATAAAATTAATTTTTTTTGTGAAGTTTAGATATTTTTAAAATTTCATTGGAAACTTATTAGTATTGTTAATTAAAATAAACAAAGTTTGAGTATTAAAATGGATACAGTTATAAAAGTTGATGTATTAAAATGGGCAGAATAATTAGTTGAGGTTTTAAACTGGGTAGTGAAAAAGTTTGGGTATTAAAAAGCTTAATAGAATTTAGTTGAGGTATTTATATGGAATTTTCCCAATAAATTATACAGTTAAAGAATATAATAATATATAGAGGGTGTCTTAAGTCGTGGGGCTGTTTTGTACTTGGAGCAAACAATAATTTAAAATGGTTTAAAGTACTGGAATTGAACATGTGTTTAGATTCTGAGCTAGGGGTAGGGTTTCTCTTTACGTAGTTTTCATAGCGCGCGTGTGTCTGTGTACGGCCATTTGCTATAATGCGAAAACATTTATTCTCATTTTATAAATTCTCACTTTTTTTGTTTAATGAAAAAAAAAGGCAAGAACATTGGCAGCTGATGACAATCGGTGTGGCTTAAATTAGATAACAAATATATTCAGCTGTGCTCCATTATCAGACGAATCACCATTCTTTTTTTTTGTCGACGACGAATCACCATTCTATATATGCATTTACTGTATCAGTAGGTTTAATCTATATTAGTTTGAATTTTCATATTATAGACTTAGGTTATGAATGAGAACATTTGTAAGTGCGTAATTGAAAGACGTACATTTATAGATTTTCATTACCAATCAACATTTTCTATGTAATTTGCGTTTTCTCAAAAAAGAAAGTAACTGTTGCGTTTTTTGGCAACTTATCAACAATTGGACCGCATTTTCGTAGTCATTCACCAATTATCCAGCATCATTTTCATAATATGAACTCGAACATGTATATGAATTTGACCTATATCCAAGTGGTTTGAAACTGATTTCATATCAAAATATTAAACCCCAATAGTTTTGAGAGAAAAATAACCAAAAAATTAAATATCCATAATATTAAATTGGAATTAAAAAAAGTTAAATTTTATTTTAAATGAATTTTAGTGTTTAAATCATAAAAAAATATATTATGAAATTATAAATAAATAAATATAATTTTTAGTTGTATTAATATATTTATTTTACATTTATTTATCAAAACCGTACTACATTTTTATCAAATTGTACTAATTTTTATATCAAATCCGTAGTTAATCTGTAAAATGCATAACCGCTATTACACTGCATTGTATTTTGATTTTGCACTGCTTATTTTACCAGATTCAATATTACCAATTCAGACTCTTATAGTTGTTCCATTGTTACCAATCTATCACACACCTTCCAATCAAATAAGCATCCGAAAAAAAAGTGTATATATATATCAAAAAGAAATGTCCATCTTAATATTTAGAGTCATGCATGAGAATCACAACCTTTACGGTTAAAAAACATTATATCATTAAATATGTTGAAGTTTATAAAGAACATGTTATTAACAAGTAACGGATATGTAAAAGAGAGAAAGATATTCGATGAATTTAGAAAGAAAAATGAAAATACAAAAATCCAAAAATAGAAACAGTTAAAAAGTAAAAAGGAAAACTGAGCTGGTAATAACCAAGATACCCACCAATTTTTTTTAAAAAAGAATAATAATGATAATCAAGATGTTAATGTAAGAAACTAATGAATATAAAAGAGGATATGACAGCTTGAAAAAAGAGTGTAAGAAGTTATTAACAGAGCAGAGTCTCACTAATTAACTGTAAGTCTGGTGTGTTCGGTCAGCCTGCCCCAACCCAAACAACCTGTAACATCTATATATAAACACACTTGCACTCACTCTCATTTCCTATCAAACAACCCTAAACGAACAAAAACTTGTCCTCTCATCATGGCATCATCTCTACCTCAGTTCTACTCCGATTTCACATTTTCCGGTGAGACTTCGTCGCAGTTTCACGGCTCTTCTTCATGTCCTGACGTCTCAGCTCTATCCAATTACTTCGACAACAGCTCCTACGGCTCTTTCAACCCATCTTCTACCCTAGAATCCATGTTTCTCCCGCAAGTTTTTGGGGTTTCTGACGTTTCTATCCCAGAGTACAATAATTATTACCAAAATGTGAATGTGAATGGCACACAATATTTTCATGGTGGAGATCAAGAATACTACGGCTTTTCACCGGAGATTAAGCCCTTGTTCCGCCCGTCCACTGGAGAGCAATCCTGGGTATATATATATGCACGTTTCCTCACAGTAACTATTTTCTTGTAATGAATATTATCGTTGTACAAGAAATCACGGTAATTAGACGTTGTATATGGGTTTAGTTCCTAGGTGGGGATGCATAGACGTTACTTATATCGATTCTTTAAAAATTGGTTTAGAAAAATCATTTAGCTATGACCGTTTGCAGCTTATACCGATTCTTAAATTCATTAGAAATTAAATAAAATAAAAGAAATTATTTGTATGACTCAGGGAAGTAGTGAGGGAGGGATAAAAGCTGAGCAGAACACAAAAGTGGGACGCTATTCTGTTGAAGAACGTAAAGACAGAATCATGAGGTACTTGAAGAAGAAGAACCAACGCAACTTCAATAAGACAATCAAGGTACATATATACACACATTTATATATTAAATTATAATATGAAAGAGTTAAGACTTAAGAGTTTTAACAATATAATATATGTATGCAGTATGTATGTCGTAAAACCCTAGCTGACCGGCGTGTTCGTGTTCGAGGACGATTTGCTAGAAACAATGACACATGTGAGCAACAATCTCACGTTTCTAAGAATCACCCTAACCATTCTGAAAAAGACGAAGATATGTTTTCTGGATCAGACGACAATCTAATCCAGGTATATTATTAATTCATATTATTATTCCAGAATAGTATAAAATTATTTACAATAATCAGTTTTAAAATTAATCATCCAATTAATATTGCATCCCATGTTTTGCAGATGGAAAACGACGATGGATGGCTTCACGAAGCAATGTCTAATCTGATTTCTTTTCCTTGTGACTTGGACGCTCCTGGAGATGTTCATCATCCAAACACATGGAGTTTCTGATCCTATAATTCTCTCTCATTTAGTGGAATTTAACTAATGCGCTTGCTATAAAAGTTAATCGATTAGTTTAGTTCAATTATAATTAAGCAGGTTAGTTATTTTATGATAGATTTGTTATCATAATGTACTTAATTATTCATGGGGTTAATGAACATGAAGATTCTGCCTAGAATATAAGTAAAAGAACTTCACTTGATCATCATATATCCTTTGATTGTCACTTTGATCATCATATCTATGACGTGAGAATAATTTCAGCCAATAATGAACTCAATACACGAGCAAGTTATTCCTTTTTATTAATTTACTACGGTCTTTTAATAAAACTTTTCAGTAAATTAAAGTTTTATTCTTTTTTTTTTTATCAATATTCAAGCTTTATTCAAAACCCAAAGAAAGAGATGATTCGTCAAGGGAGGAGTTAAAAATGTTGAGATTATTATGGCAAACAACACCTTTATTACGATTCGAATAAATTGATGAGTCGATAAAATATTAATTAACTAGTGGATTCATGGAACCAATGTTTATTTAGGAATATATGATGTAATTTTAAGGGATCATAAGACGAATGACTTAACTTAACATAGCTTGTAGCCTTCTTTTCTTTCTTTTCCTTGCTTATATATGAATGGATATAAAAAATAATGCCGATTAAATGGTCGTAATAACAAAACACAGGAACATGATAAGTTGTACACCAAATTCTTGCAACGATAGGTGGGGAGCTAGAGAATCCTGTCTACAAATTAAAGCAGATTGATAGGGTGTATTAATACAGTGTAAACATAGAGAGAGAGAGTGGAGAGGAGAGGCATGATATACGGAACCAAGTTCCAATCACCTTTTTATGACATATAATTCTTGAAACAAACATATATAATAAGGCTTCAAAAATCTGTGAAATATATTCTCTGAGCTTGTCCCCTTTATTTTCTGCTTTGACGAATATATGTGAAGTTGAAGGCTGAATTCTACTGTCTTCTTTTTCTTTCCCATTTTTCTTCTAAATACCTTGTAACTTCTAATGATAATTACCTAACCACAAAACTGACATATGTGTATATTTAAATTTATTCAGTTTGTTCATGGTCCATCATCTTAATTATTAATATTATGTTTATGTAAAGTTAACATGTACTGTTAAAGGCCTAAGCCAGAATACAATTAGTTGAAAACATGATATATATATATATATATATTTTCTTATTCATAATAATATCACATTAGAAAGCTTACATAAATCAAATTTATTATAAAATGTAATTAATATTCAACTACAGAATCAATAATATAAGAAAATAAACCAAACAAAAGATATTTACCTCAATGTGTGCTCTCTTATTCATATTTTAAGCCTTAGAACATCCGCAACCGTGACACTCAGAGGAGTCGTTAAGAAAAATGGTATTTTGGATTTGGTAAGGATATTTTAGATTTTTTTTTTTAAAAAGATGACCATTCGCGGGTTGCCACATGTCCTAGGGACCAGCAAATAGTGAAAATATTCGCTAAGAAACAGTTCTTATATATGGATTTTAAAGATCGAATTCTTAACTTTTTGTGGGATCTACCGATTATTTAATTATTTTTTTTTCTAACGACTCTCCCTTAAGGACTCCGGTTGCGGATAATCTTAAGAGTTCATACGAATGACTTCTCGAAACGGATCTAAACAAAAATTTCTTACAACTTCTTTCTTTATTGATTGGTCTGATAATGTTACTGAAGTGAGTTGACTCTGCTTCTTGACGTCGGTACACACATATGCTTAAGTCAAAACCATGATAGAGATCTTATCAAGTAATCATTAATTGTTATCCTCCCTTTGTCAGTTTTCTTTCATACATCAAAAAGATAATCAGTGTTTTCCCTTGTTTTCAATAATTTCGGTGAATTCCCACTATCTCAACCATTTTTTTGTCTTCTATAAGTTACTGGTCAACTTGAACAGGATAAGGCAATAGGAGGTTTGTTTATCTTTTTTCTCTTTTAATAAAACATGTAATACGAAGCATTATTTGTAATATAAGACAATTATTCAAGTATTCACGCTGGTTAATGAAGCACTTAATCTGAAAAACAATATATAATAAATTAGAATTTGTATTTAGTATAATGTTATATTTTGGAGGAATTGCGCTTTCACATGTATGCGTTGAAAATAAGAAATGCAAAATGCTTTTATTTGTCCACTTCACTAAAAATGTTACGAAGATTCGGTGTTGGATTTTCCAAATTTCATAAAGCCTGGATTACCGTTACAGCAGTGTCGCTCTCTATGCATGCTGAAAACGAAAGCTGCAATCAACACTTACCCCTTCAATGGAAGAAAGAGCTAATATATATATGTCTAATTTCAAATTCTGGCCTCAACTATACTATTTATGAAATTTTGACATTCCAATATATATATATTTGAGAAAATGATAGCAAATCAGGACAATTATATTCCTTTATGGCTTTACAAATAAATAAAAATAAATTAGATATAAGTCAACAAATTATGTTCTTTTGGTGCCTTTTTAAGGACCAGACTTTTTATTTTATACATTTATGTTTTGCAGCTAAATAAACTAAACTATAAGAGAAAGTGCAGCTCTTTTCGTAGAAGGTTGGTCATTAATTATTTTATTACGATACGAGGAGTCTGATTACGGGAATCATAAAACATAGGATTAAGAAGCTTTTTAAAGTGGTGTTGCATCCAATAAAGAATCTACAATGAGATCAACAGAACCACATGTTTTCTAATCATGCAGCAATTGAAGATGTTCGAAATAGATAAAAATAATGCTTGCATTATAGTATAAGCAAACAAACTGCGCATAGTTCGTAAGATTTTGGAAAATAAGATGGTGCAACGATGGCCACAAGACAGGGTCCGACAGAACTTTATAGAAAATTATGATATACTTAGACTAGATGGGTTGACCTTTCCCACTGAGCTGGAATATATATGACCCTTTTCTCCGTTTATATGATTCAAAAGTCACTTAAATATCCAATCATGAAAACGATTAACCAAGCTAAAATCAGAAAGTGGGAAGCTAATCAAAATAAAGACGTCTTCAGGCTTTCTTATTGCATGCAACTGTGTAACAATAGCGATCTTTGTTACCCAAATGCGAGGTTTCTCTTCCATCGTCTCTTTCACAATTTTCTCTTCTAGACAAGACATCCCTCTCCCATTTCCTTTTCTGCCACTAATTTTCTTTTGCATACTTTTAAATTCTAAAATCACCTTGAAACAATTTAAGGTGATACTGCACAATTTAGATGTATTTTATAGTTGTTTAATTTGTAAAAAGATAATATATGCTAAAAGTTAGGATTATGTAGCTTTTTAGTGTTATTAAAATGTAATTAAATAGTTATTTTAATTTAATATTAATTTAGGAAATGATTGAATAAATAATTAGGAAAATACATGAATTACTTAAAGATAGGATTATTAAACAGTTCAGTGGCATTGGGTTATAAATATTTTGCAAGTCTAAAAAGTACTCTTTACGGATATTTCTGTTTTAATCTCGGTTTAGAATTAAGCTATGCGCTAGTCGGATAGCTGGATTAGATGATTTAATATATTATAAATATGTTAATTTTTGAATTATTATAAAATTAGTACATTTTCATATTTAAAATTTTATAAAATATAATATAAAATATAAACTTAATACGCTATAATTTTCATCAAAATTATACAGATAAATTGCACTTATAATATTTTATATCAAATAAATAAATAAAAAGATTATTCAAAAAAAATAAAGTAAAAAAATAATTAAAAATAAATTAAGCGACTATTTAGATGGTTAGATGGTCATATAGGTAGGTTAGGGGACTAAAATCAACATTCGATTTTAGGAGTGGTGCCTAACGCTTAGCTCGTCCTATTTTTAAAATAAGATTTAATTAAAGTTGATTATTAGCAGCAAGAAAATAATGATGATTAAAGTCAACCGGTATATTAGAGCATCTCCAACGAAGTTTTAGAGTAAACTAATTAAATAATTAGTGGATCCCCCAAAAAGTTAATGTTTCAATCTTTAAAATTTCTAAATAAAGATTTTTTCTTAGTAAATCTTTTCACTATTTTCGGATCTCTACGTATTGTGAAAACCCGCAATTGATTGATATTTTTTTTTAAAAAAAAAAAATCTGAAATAATAATAATAATAATAATAATAATAATAAATTATTATTATTAAGAAAATAAAAAATAGTTTTTTTAAGGTCTCCAATGGGATAACGCCGTTGGAGATGCTCTTAGGCACAAATTTTGTAATCCATTAAAAGAAGAGTAGCTGAGTTTCAGACAGTGATATTCGAAGTTATCTGGACATGGGAACACAGACATCAACCTTGCTGGGCTTCTAATTTAATTGAAACCGTTCGACATAAATGGGCTTTTAGTTATAGGCCCATAGTTGATTAGCTCCCTGATTCTGAAGATGACAATAGATTAGCTAATTGATTGCAAGATGTTATGCTGAAAAGAGGCGTGGCCCATGATAGTATATTAGTTAGTATCAAGCACGAATTTGTAAGCATCACCAAAGAAAAATGGGCATTATACACGCTAGTGAGTAGTTAAATCAAAAACCAGTTATGGTGTAGTACTAAGTGATTACAGCATGATACCATACGGTAACTAATACGAACTACACTTAAAAACATGATCTCACGTACTAATCATGTCTCTCAGAACAAAAAAAAAAGAAGAGTTAATGCTCTGCATGGACCATACTTTTAGTCAGTATTTATAGTCTCCTTATCAGAACCCCTCAACATTCATTTTGAAAGAAGTATATCGAGACAATATTAATGGCTCTTAATTACGAGGACCGAGACACATTGTTCAACTTCGTGGTGAAAGAAGGTAATGGCATTAAGGGTCTGATAGACTCTGGCATGTCTTGTGTTCCACAGCCTTTCGTCCAACCGCTCTCTGAGCGAATCGCGACTCCAAACGCCCAAACGTGTGAAGCTGTCCAGCCAATAGATCTTTCCGAGCTAGATGGTCCAGGCCACAAGGAGGTGGCCAAACAAATCGTTGAAGCTGCCGAGACGCTTGGCTTCTTCCAGGTATTTAATGGTAGATTCAAAGCATTTTAAGATGGTGTTGAACATTTTTTTTTGCAATATAATTAGCCATGTTGATTTTGATCCGGTAATTGCGTGTTTGGTATGAGAAGCCTATAATTTGAGGAGTTAATGTACATGGTAGGTGGTGAACCATGGTGTTTCGGTGGAGCTTCTTGAATTGCTGAAAACGTCAGCTCATGAGTTTTTCGAACAACCTCCTGAGAACAAAGCGGTTTATCTAAAAGAAGTGAGTCCAAGCAACCTAGTTAAGTACGGGACGAGCTTCGTGCCAGAGAAAGAGAAGGCAATTGAGTGGAAAGATTATGTGAGTATGCGTTACACTAATGACGATGAGGCTCTTCAAAACTGGCCTCAACAATGCAGGTATATATGGAAAAAAAACTATATTAGTATAAATATATCAACTTTGTGTTATACAAGTAGAACAGGCTAGCTTGAACTAAAATCGCAAGTAAACTATTGTCTAAGAACATGTATAATTGAGGTTCTTATGATGAGGTTGTTAGCGGAATAAGAAACAGTCTCTTAATTTTTAACTAAAAGAACTAAGAACCAGTTTTAGTTAAGAGTTAAGAAACAATTTCTTATATTCCGCTAAAAATCTCACCATAAGAATCTCCATTAAACATGCTCTAAGAGATATTCGCCAATTATATCACTGCCAATATGTATGTGTATATGAGATGACGCATGAAAGATTTGGAGAAAAATCTAAAAAATTAAGAAGAAGAAAAGAATAATAAATATTAGGAAATTAGCATTTAGTTTTACTATATTATTTTAAATAAATTTAGGAAATTAGGTTAGATCAGTCATTATATAAACTAATTAATGCATACTTTTTCATGAGAGTTAAATATAATTCTTACATAAGCACTTTTGTGATTTTTATTCTCATCAATGTGTGACAGAGAGGTGGCACTTGATTTCCTAAAATCCTCCATGGCAATGGTGAAAAGAATAGTTGAAGTTTTGTTGGAGGATGTAGGAGTGATCCTAGAAGAGGAGAGAATAAACGGTTTGATGGGGACCAAGATGGTCAACATGAACTACTACCCAACATGTCCTAGCCCCGAGCTGACTATTGGCGTCGGTCGTCACTCCGACATGGGGATGTTGACGGTTCTATTACAAGATGGCATTGGTGGTCTCTACGTTAAACTAGACAACGGTGATTGGGCTGAGATCCCTCCTCTCCATGGAGCCTTAGTCATCAATGTTGGCGATACTTTGCAGGTTTCCCATACTAAAGAAAAAAAACATCTTAAACTATATTTATATATATACACTGCTAAGTTCGTCTCTACTTAGAATACTCTAATAATGCATTATATAAAAAAATTTAACAACAGATTCTAAGCAATGGGAAGTATAAAAGTGCGGAGCATAGGGTTCGAACCACAGACATTGGATCGAGAGTCTCTGTGCCCATTTTCACGGCACCTAAGCCCTCGGAGAAGATCGGCCCGTTGCCGGAAGTGGTGGAACGTGACGGGGTTGCTCGTTACAAAGAGGTGTTATTTCAAGACTACATGAACAATTTCTTCAGCAACCCACACGATGGCAAGAAATCTCTAGACTTTGCTCGTGCCGATTGAAACATTATCACTCTTACCAGTTTCGACGTGCCAAATTAACCACAGTTCGCGACGATTTGTTTCCTTTTTATGTTTGTTCGATCCCAATAAAATAAAAAGCCTTCTTGTTTGTATTCCATAAAAGTATAAAACGTACGTGATCCAACTTATTCCATGAGCATGGTTAACAGTGTCGATCTTGAGATATTCATGGTCCAATACGAAATACAAAACTAAGGTCCTTAGATAATATATAAAAAAATTACAATGTGCTCAAAACTAATAAAACTTATCAGTTTTTAAATCTAGATTTTCTTACGTTTTCCTGCAAAATTATTCATCAAACTTTTGTAATCAAGGTTCTTGATCCTATCTTTTTCAATCGACAACATATCCAAATCTTTTAATCTTAAACTCTTCTAACTTCATTATTCTAAAACTGAAAAACATAGAAACACAATTAATCCAAACTATTGTGACTTCTAAAATGTGTGAAATCAAGAACAAAGTTAAAACTAAAATCAAATTTTGAGACTTTGGTACCTGATGAAACAGTGGAAGAGGAGTGAAAAAATGTTTGAGAAGAAAAAAACTAACATAGAAGCTAAATCCGCTATTTTTCTTTTTTTTTGTCGTCATAATTTTTTCTTTTTTCTTTTTCCTTTAAACCACTCATATTTAATAACACAGATGATATATAAAATTTAATTATATTTGTATTTTGGTGATTCCCACCAATTTCTTTCTTTATCAACAATACACACATAACAAATTGATATCATTAATAAGTAATGAAAATGAAAAAAAAAATAAGCCTAATATTTACATAAAAAGGGGTTCCATACCTTTGTATCATATGTTTGGGGTTAAATCCGGGTCTGATGGTTAATGGAGGTTCTTAGGGGTGAGATTTTTAGTAGAATTAAGAAAATGTCTCTTAATTTTTTTACTAAAAAGTTAAGAACCAGTTCTTTAATATCTTATTTAAGAGTCTATTTTTACTTTTTTTAATTAAAAGTTAAGAGACATTTTTTAATTTCACTAAGAATCTCATCCTTAAGAATCCCCTATTAATCATGTTCTTAAGATGAATGGTTGAGTTTTCTAAACCAGTATCAAAGTGCTAAAAGCGTGACCGAACTATTGATTTTCACTGTAATGATTGTCTTTTCGCCAATTTATGTAAGGATTTCCAATTTATAATCGAGACTTTTCTTCTCTATCCTTCTAATTTGGATTCTTTTTGTGTTTCCATTTATCATCTCGTTTTCATGTACTAAATTTTCAGTTTAGACGTATCCTCGGGTTCTAAGTCGTACACAAATGTTTTGTTGACTATAAAAGAAGGAAACGACAATTATATCGAAAACTACTATACCGTTTTAAAATGCGACAATGTTGAAGATAGTCGATATGACATAAGCCTAAGAATTCTGAACATTTGTAGTTGTGACGTGATGGTGAATGTGTTTAATTAACGTACTTCAAACATTGTGACGTTGGACACTTTCAGATTTTCAAAGCTCGTGCCATTGCTTCCTTCTATAAACTACTTTTTGACATTTTCCTTCGTTTTTTAAAGAGTATGATTTTTTCGGTTAAGCTCAATTAAAACTCGTTAACTAGGATTCAATTAAATCTATGATACATGACGTGTATAAATAAGCTTAACCATCATAACGTTTATTATGTACGGACAACATCAACTGTATTTGTATCATTTTAGCTAATCGCTAATCATATTAATTATTCTACTACAACAATTCTACATAATTTAATTTATACACGAAACAATTCAAGACTTGAAAGTAGTACAATGTAACTTGTCTGTTCAAAGTCAGTCCACGATCGGATTAAATCAACGAGCCATCATGATTATATCAATTACCTCGGATCTTTCTACAAATAAAGAATAATGTAACTTGATTGATCATCGTATTATTACATCATCAATTCGTCGCACTCGCATTTTTTTCTCCCTCTTGTTTGGTGTCCCATGGCACGTATTCTTACATCATCAATGCTTCTAAGGCTTCGAATGGTAAAAGCAGATCAAGCGGTGCAGATCAAGCGGTTTATGCAGATCAAGCAGGACAAGTGCAGATAAAGCAGGACAAGTGCAGATCAAGCGGATCAAGCAGGAGAGATGCAGATCAAACAATTTATCATAAATTATGAATGGCAAAATAAGTTCAAAACTATAGATCATATATTAAAAGAATAAAATTATACCAAATATCAATATAAATATTTAAATA